AGGAGTGAGATAATAAATAATACAAAAGAAAAAACTTTTTTTTAAAACTTGAAGAGTGATATTTTCTACGTGAAATATTCTCTCTCGCATTTTCGTGTATTTTACAAAAGCCTAAAAACTTCTTATAATGCAAAATTTTAGGCACATCTGAGTTTTGGTACGTAATATTTTTTTTCGGAAAAACAGAATACGTTTAAAAAGAGAACGACAGGTGATGATGAGGTATGAAACAGTTGATTTAAAATGACGGATATGAAAGGCTAATTAAAATTCCAGTTTAAAGTATGTAAACATGACTATTATTTTTAAAGAGCTGTTTTTTGCTATGAATTATGATATTAAAAAATTATATATGTTACATATATTTTATATATATTTATATATAAATGATATTATAAAACATATGCTACGAACAAAAACCTTGCTGAAATTTACTGTAATTTGTTAAAATATTCATTTCAAACAGTGCCCCTTTCACTTCCTTGTACGAAGTAAAAAGCAAGTATTGTAATCGCGAAAAGTTTCAGGCAGCATATTTCAACGAAAATATCCATTTTGACCGCTATCGAATGCAATTTAATATGCAATGCGTGATATCTGTACGTAAGGACAGAATAAAATACTCTTTTCCTTCAAAAAAATTAAAACCTGCTTTAAAATTAATTCTGAAGAGAATTTTTCGTGGCGTCTGTACGAACGTATGTACGTACGTGCTTACGTACGTATCTCGCATAACTCAAAAACGAATAGCCTCAGCACTTTGAAATTTTGTATATAGGACTGCTATAACATGTAGATGGTGCACCTCGTATTTTGGTTGCCATCGGCCGCACCAAAACGTATATAAATATATTTATATATATATCCGCTCTATTATACCCGGCTCAGGATCTCAGTTTTCTTTAACTCTTATATGTTTTAAATTGTACTTTTTTGCTTTAAAAATGATTGAATTATGTTGTTTTTATCGTCCCGGTTAAGGATTTTATGCCTTAGTAAATCTGTGTGCAATATTTTAGAATTATCAGGAAATTAAAGTTGTTTAAAAATTGCCGCTAAGCTTTTTTAATGGCGCCATTGATGTTTATATTTGAAACAGGAGACTAGTGGATTTGTTGCCAATCTAGAGAAACTTAGCTTCGCAACAAAATAACGCATTCATTTTTATTATTGCCATTAAATCATGCTTAATTCACTGGATTTTTTGAGGAATAAGCGTTTGAGATTTAACTTCGATTTGAGATTTTTAATATAGATATTTTGAGTTTTTTAGTATTTTTTGCCTTCTCGTCGAAGTGAGAACTGAATTAATTAAATTAGAAATACTCAATCGTCTGTGAAAACTGTTTCTTTTTTTGTTTGTTTTTTTGCTTAATTCTTTTATACATAGTTCTAGCTTTATTATAGTATTGAATAGGACATGTGGCAACGATTAGATAATTCCTTTAAATGATATAACATTTTGTGCATTCTGAGTTATAATATGAATGAAATATAATACTGTTAAGTAAACCTAGAGCCAGAGTGTAGCTTGTGGTAAACAAAGTGAATTTTTAAAGAATGCCTTTGTTCTATTGTGGTTTATTGCGCTTCGGCGAAGTAGGTTTAATTCAATCTAATAAGTTTGAATAAAATGCAAGAAAAATGCGTATAATTTAATATTCCGTACAAGGAAGTCATGTGGTGTACACATCAGATTTTTTAGCTTTAGTTTAATTCTAGTATTAAAGAACTGACTTTTCAGATCCATGTTGCATGCAGTGGTTTTGTGCACCTAAAAGTGATTTGAACAGCCATATTTTCTTCATTTAAATTCAAAACTTAGTATATTCAAAGAAGTCGCATAAAATCAAGAAAAAATATGCAAGGAGATTTGCAATTTATAGAATTTAGTTGGCATTTAGAAAAATCATTTTCTGAGACTTTCAGGATAACTGATTGAAGGTCTTGTTTCGAAATGAGTTCCATACGCGAATGTTTTTTATCCTGACCTGAAATATCTGCCAAGTTGTCAGATTGAAAGGAAAAGTATAATTTATATCCGAAAAGCCATAGCCAGGAGTTCGTCTTTTCCTACGCATTCCAATACTGTAGCGTAGTAGAAATTGATGCTTCCTATAATTTCCCTTTAGGGAGATTACATGGCAGCTCATTCTAATCTCCCTAAAGGGAAATTATAGGAAACATCAATTTTCCTGCCTTGGGTTAATCGATATGTTTTCCTTAGAAAACACTAAGAACCGTTTAGAAAGCACTGAACAAGTCGAATTTACTATATATTTGGCAGTATATTGAAATTGTAAGGTAACTATTACAAGATTTAGATTTAAAAAATATTTCTGAAATTATTAAATGTAAGTTATAAAACTTATTACTAAAGAAATATCTGTCAGTGGCAAAGGAAGCTCAAAAGGAATTACATCAATTCATAAAAAAGAAACAGCGCTAAAAATAGCAAAGCTCTTTCATAAAAGCGCCCTCTCTTTCTTCTGCAAATTTTGAATATTCTACTTTAAGCGGAATTGGCAGTTTTTCTAATGTTTATGCAAGCGAGCAATCAAGGTATAATAAGAACAGATTTTTCAAAAAAAAATGTATAGTTAACAGGCAGAAAAACTATATATATAGTTAACAGGCAGAAAAATGCATTTAATCATGGGACAAACTCATAAGTTATTTTAAATAGTCAACGTGAGCAATAATTTTATTGATTTCCTTATAAATTAGTAATGTCTGTATAATTATATAAAACAAATTGTTAGATACAACTGTTTTGAAGTTTCTGTCGATGTGCATTCTTAGACATGTTGGTTTTAATATTTCTATGTTTAACTGGCAAATTTCTCAAATGTGTCATTCTTGCATAGGGGCCATGCTAATCTTCTCTGTATTGTTCCAATTTCAGTATACGTACTGCCGAAGTATGTCTATTACTAAACGGTAAGGAAACGATTAAGTCAAACATCAGTTACAATAAAAGATTTAGGACATATTAGAAGTATAATTTTTAACAACGGTCGGCATTATTTATTTAAACGAAAAGTAATTTTGTCATGCAATATATGAAGAGAATTAATCGTTAGTTTCACTGAAAAAAAATTTAGGAAATGTCAGAATTGTAAATTTGCTTTACACTTAACATTTCTGAGTTTAGTGGTTAGTGATTGTAGACTTTAGTTTTACATATGAAATGATATAACCCGCAAAATTATTACTATGATTTAACTTTACTTCAAAAAATGCATTTCTGTGAAGAAAAACTTTTGAATTTTAAAAATCTCAACAGGAATATAAAAATCGATTTAAAAGATGAGACAAATGATTCTCAATTACATTAATATGTAAACTTCATCTGTTAGCTTTTAGGGTTAATAATAAAAACATGCAGCCATTATTAATTTTCTTTCATAACTACTATATATTTAACAAGAATATTGAAATTAATAAGTTGCATAGACATATCGATATTATGTATAACAGAAATTTTGATATAATATTTCTTATATAAGGGCGAGTCAAATGAAAGTGAGACAACCCCTCCTCAGCAAGAATGGTTCGGTCCATCATCTGCGGCGCATGAGCGTAGCACAGAGACAGCCTTCATTTACGAAAGTGGCGCGAAAGTGTGAGGTTAAAGTTCTTTAAGGCGCTCTTACACTGGATTGAAGACAGTAGCGTGACATAATGGACGCTCCAAAAGAGGAACAGCGTGGTGTGGTCAGGTTTTTGACAACTGAAGTTCCCAACATGAAATTAGTCGCCGTATGACTGCTGTGTACGGTGAACATTGCATCGCATTGGCCACTGTGAAGCGTTGGAGCAAACGGTTCAGAGAAGGACGTGAAAGTTGCAAAGACGATCCAAGACCGGGCCAGAGCCAACTTGCAATCACCCCCGACACAATTGCACAGGTTGATGAGCTGATTATACAAGAACGGAGGATAAGTATCGATGAACTAGCAGAGCGTGTGAACATCAGTCACAGTTCGGTTCACACGATAATTTATGATCATCTCGGTTATCGGCTTTTGTGTGCTCAATGGATGCCCAAGATTTTGAGCGACCGCCAGAAGACGGAGAGGTTCGGCGCTGCTTTGACTCATCTCATCCGGTATCATAATGAGGGTGACGACTTTCTGTCTGCAATTGTGACCGGAGACAATCATGTGCCACCACTACGAACCTGAAACACGCCCGGCAAAGCTTACAGTGGAAACATTTGAATTCACCACCCCCGAGAAAGCAAAGGCTGTCATTTCCTCGGGAAAGGTCTATTGACTTTTTTTTTCGATCGTCAGGGGCCATTACTGATTGAATTTGCTAAAACGTGGAGAGACTATCAATAGTTCGCGATATTGTGCAACGCTGGATCAGCTGCCTGTCGCAATCAAGAACAAACGACCTGGAAGATTGACGAATGGTGTGATCTTGCTAACGACTGCTCGTTCCCCACGTCGCTGATGTGGTTAAGACACAACTGGCGAAGTTCAAGTGGGAATGCTGCAACATCCTCCATACAGCCCAGATTTGTCGCCATGCGACTTTCAGATTTTCGGAAACTGAAAAAAAACATCTCAAGGGTACCAGATTCGTGTCGGACGACGCCGTGAAGGAGTTGGTTACAGACTTTTTGAATCGACAGCCCAAGGAGTTTTATGAGAACGGGATCACGCGCTCTTTGTCAATGGATCAATGTCCTCAATGTTCATGGAGACTACCTTTAAATAAAGTACTCTGTTTGTCATATATTCGCATTGGTTCACTTTCAATTGACTCGCCTTTGTAGTAACCTTGAGTAAATCTATTCCGGTCCTGGTAAAGAGTATGCAGCGAGAAAAAAAAACACAAATTCAAAAATAATATATAAGCAAAAATAATAAGTCTTTTAAAAAAATATTTACTGATTACGTATTATGAAGTTTCATTTGCTCTTCACTAAAATAGAGAATTTTATTATGTCTCAGATATTTGAATACAACATGAAAAGCCAAAGAACTAACCTGTATGTATAAGTTTCTTCCACAGAATACTTGGAGCAGGAAATCCAATGGCTGCGCAGTCTATCCATACTCGATGTCCTAGAATCACCGTAGTATTCTTTGGTTCTACAGTCCACTGAGGTGGCACTAGAATATGCATAGTAACAATGAGTAAATTCATGCAAAAGTTTTAAAAATAGCAACAGATTGAAATGAAAGAAACTGAGCGTATATGAAAACCTCTGTAAATTTTTAACTTGAGTATTTTGATAGGCTTAAATTAGTAATGTGATGGTACACTTTGCCGTGGAACTAGAAAGGTAGTTAATTTAACAATATACTTACTTTTAGCACTAATAAGAATGCAATAAATTGCGCGTGCTGTTGTTTGAGTACAGGCTAGAGTTATGGTAAACAAGTTGTAAGGATTATGTTAACTTTATTAACAGTTAAGTTCCTTTCCTGTCAAATTCTTAACTTCAACCGGCCAGAATGTAGTTTTGGAATCACTCTGAATACTCAGTGAGGTGGAGCGGTATTTAAATCGCGAAGTCTACTTGCAGAGTTAGAGAGAATCAGAGTTTCTGATTTGCGCGCGTCTGTCTTTTGGCTACTCTTTCTCTCAAAGCGTTATTATGCTCGCCGTACTCAGGCCTTGATAAAGCTCGTAGTCAAATAGAGTTAAGGGCAACTCATTAGAATCTTGATAGCTTCGGCTATATCTCTTTAGTTAATCTTAGTTTTAGTTTAATTTTTAGTCTCTTGAGTTCAAGCCCAAGTGTCGGCTTTTATTGTACACTCCAAGACGGAATTTTGTTAAATATTATTGGAATAAAAAAGGGTTAGTTACCCTTCCATCTTTTTGTTTCTTGTTACACGAACTTAAGCGATTATTCGCTAACTAGTTCTTAAGATTCGTCACTTTCTACAGTAACTGAGAAATACACTAGGGAGAATCTTACAAAGTAAGGCGGCTTATGTTAGCAGCCAAGATCGTATTCGGCGAACTCTTGTGTGATGTCTTCAACGTATCTGAATAACATTAAAAAAATTACTTTATCTTTCTTCGCAAGGTAATGAGCAAAAGGAAATATATTCGGTATCCTGAAAGACTTTGGGCATGCGTTTTTTTTTAATTATGAAAAATAAAGTTTTGTCTATTGCCTGAGTTATGTGAATTTCTTGAAACGCCTGGAAAATGTGTCTTTCTTTCTTATGAATGCTTTCTTCTCTCTACTGTCGCATGATGCATCCACGCTTCATTCTCTATGACTATAAGTAGCCCATTTTCCTCATGACATCGCCTGAAATTCCGAGTTTTTGGCTTTGTTTATTGTTCTCGGTATCATAGGTGATTCTCAATAGCTTATGAGCAACGCTGATAACTAGGCTCATGAATGATGTTGTGCAGTTTTCCCTTTTAATCTAAATCCAGTATAAATATTATTAATTCGAACGCCTTCTTCCTTCTATATTAGACTTCCTATGCAGTTCAAATTTCCATCTGTTATAGGCGTGCCTACCTTCTCAAATCGCTTCTTACCTTGTAAGGATCTTAAGTTTTACTAACGTTTATTTTATTTTAAATCTTTACTATCACTTCTTATTTTCTACTTCCGGCCAGAATTATAAGCGTTAACGTATTTATGCAAAGTTTGTCTGGCGAACGCCAAGTACTTAAGTTGTGGCTTTTTGCCAAGCGAAAGAGAGGAAGCAGTTAGTCGAAGCAGGTCGCTTACCTTAGAAGTTTTACTCAGTTGCTGGTTGCGTTCCAGGCCAGAGGTTTTTTAAATCCTCTTGATAACTTTAAAACGTATTGTAGTGTTCACAGTCTCTGTACTACATACGGCTTCCCTGTTAATATAAGGCCAATCTTCCAAGTTTATTATTTTAAAGTTAAATTAGAGTTTAGTTTTATATTTATATTTTTACGTTAGACCACAAGTAGTGGGTCTTTGTATTCCGAGTACGGAAGTTATTGTAAATAGAGAAAAATAAAGGGTTTTTGTATACCCTTCTTGTGTATCCTGTCTACTTCCCACAGTTATGAACATAGCTTTAGTAAGCTCTCTGTTCCGAGTCAGGTCCTTGCATGTTCCCGAAGAAAAGTAAGACGGAACATTGAACCTGATAGTGGCGCCCAACGACGAAGAATAACCATGGCCGAGTTTCAAGAAGAACTGTGCTGCCTGCAGAAAGCGGCTCAGAATCCAGAAATGCCAGCTGCCGCCTGGAAGGATTTGGTTACAATCGTCCAGACCATGCGCGCTTCGATGAAACCAGAAGCAACATTTAATGGAAACTCACCGGTAACCAGTTTTTTGGAAAATTGGATGACCACTTCATGCTCTACCCCGTGCACGAATTTCAAAAAGTTACCTTAGCTACCAGCGCTTTGAGGGGCCAAGCGCTTAACTGGTTCAAATGTATAAGGAGAAGTCTCTTGGGTCAAGCAGGAAGTCCCACCTATACTTACGAGAATTTCAAGACGCCCTAGTAAAAGCCTTCCCTGTTGTAAGGGATCGTGCGAAATTAGAAACGGAACTTTTTAGTATATATCAGCAAAGAATCGAAAATCTCCTCAAGCTTTATTTTAAGAAAAATTCACATCTTCAAACTCTTGTATGGAAACCGTCCGGATCCTGAGATAATTCAAGTGATTTTGCCGAGGTTACTGCCCCAAGTGCAAGACTTATTGAATTAAGAAATCCGACTACACTGGAAAAGTTATTTGAGCTAGCAATCCAGTTTGAAAGTAGAAGAACGACGGAAATTGAAAGAAGAACGCCAATATCAACAGCGAAACCAATTTGGTGCGCCCAAGACTACAGCAACTCAAGCACACGGCTACGGAAGCAAAGCGAATCAGTGGGCAAGGAAACCCGAGCATTCAAAAACAGCCGGCGAACGTCGACAGTTCAATAGCAAATCCAGGAAAAAATGTCTCAAGGCCAGTGGAGAAAGAAGGAAAGCACGGAAAGAAAAATAATTTAAACTAAAACGGATTTCCTGCTGACGAGAGGGTGCGGAAATCCGAAGGCCCGACAACCCTCTTCCTTCAAGTTAAATACAGTAATGGTGAAAAATTTGGACACTTCCGAAGATTGAAGTGTTGGTGAATAAATAATATCCCAGCCACCGCACTCCTGGATACAGGCGCGCCAGTGTTCCTGTGGTGGCAGAAGATTTTGGATAAATTTTCGGAAATACCGCATATATATTCGGATAAAACGACAGTGTTAGCGGCGCAAGGAGAAAAGTTAAGTGTATAGGTAAATTACCGCTGTATGTCCGTATCAAGGACGAACAAGTAAAGGTTATGTTTTTATGTAAAGAATTGCAAGCACATATTATTTTAAGGAATAGATTTTCTTCAGGGCACAAGCAACGGATTTTAATGAAGCGTCCCTTAAGCTGACAATGGAAACCATTCGTGGAGAAAAGGCTGAACCGCCGATGTAATCTTGACCACCCGGCCTAATGACGAGCAAGAAGAATCCGGACAAGTGGTAAGTGAATTGCTTCTTATTTAGTGATATTCCAGGATTTACTCAGGTTACTAACCATAGTATTGACCCGGGAGATTCAATGCCAGTTCGCACAAAAGCATAACCGTATGATAAGAATAAGGAAAAAATTTATAGAATGGCATAATCACCGATATGCTACGTAAAAGATCATAACGCCCATCTCAAGTATTATGCTAGCCCGGGTGGTTTTTATGTAGAAAAAATGATATCCTTTGAGCAAATCCAAAAAGGTGGAGATTCGCAATTGACTACCGTAAATTAAACTCCATAATAAATATCCGTATATCCGTTACCTATTATTGAAGAAATTCTAGGAACATAACATCGACCCAATATATGAGAATTTAGACTTAACGATGGTTATTTTCAATAGGGGTTAGGCCTGAGGACGTGCCTAAGACTGCTTTTTATAACCAAGTCTGGGCACTTATGCATTTTGCGTATGCCGTTTGGCCTTTTCAGGGACCACCGGCAACATTCAGCGATGTATGGACATTGTGTTAAGGCCTGTTCTTGGAAGTCCACATTTATCTATTTAGACGATATCAATTATACTAGTGATAATCTCGACCAACATGTACAGGATTTAAGACAGGTGTTTTCTTTATTAAATGAGGCCGGTCTAAAAGTTAATGTCGAAAAAGTCAAATTTTGCCAGCCCCTGAATTAAAATATTTAGGTTACAAAATATATCAGAAAAAGGATCGAGACAGACGAATCAAAAATAATCGCTGTACAAAAGTATCCGAACTCCAAAACACGGCAAAGAAGCTCTCTTCTTCTTTTCTAGGACTTTGTTGATATTATAGGTCCTTTATAAAAAATTTTGCAGCTATTGCTGAACAATTGTTAAAATAAAAAGGAAAAAGGAAGATTCTCGTGGGGCCGAAGCCAATAATGCTTTCGAAAAATTAAAACAAGCATTAACGCAAGCCCCCTGTGTTGAAATTTCCTGAAAAGGTGAGAAATAGAATTTCAGCGGATTGCTTCGGATTAGCGGTAGGAGCGGTTACTTTCGCAAAATCAGAAGCCCGTGGCATTTTTTAGCCGAACCTGTTAATCAAACACAAAGAAACTATTTCCGCGACCGAGAGAGAGCACTCTTGCAGTTCTGTTAGCAGTGCAAAAGTTCCGGTCTATTTTGGAAAGGCGCCGATACAGTGTACTCTGATCATGCGGCCCGGTAACTAGATTGTACTCAGGGGAAAAACTTATCCCCAAGGTTAATAAGATGGGCACTCAAGCTGCAAAATATAATCTGGTAATCAAGCATACCCCGGAAAGGAAAATATCGTAGCAAGATGCCCTATCCAGAATTAAAATAGACGAAGAAGGTAATACCGTAAATTGCAATGCTCACAGCATGTACAATAAATTCCCGAGAAACTGAATAACTGGGTAAGGATCCTGAGTTTGGAAGCTTTATGAGTATTTATTTTAAAGGATCCTGAAAATTTTTTTAGCCACCAAGATATTTGTGGCGATAAGAAATAGGCGGCCCCCATTACGAACTAATAGATGGTCTATTATTTTTACAAAACTACGAATTCCACAAACGAATTTCGACCTGTTATCCCAGCTGGTCATAGATTAAATATCCTGCAGGAGGCTCCATGA